GCTCTAAAATACATAAGTTTATCTGGATAACATTCTTACATTATATCTAGTGACATGTCAAAGTTACCTAGGAAATCCCTTCATTTCGATACCTATACAGTGTTATAGCTGGGAGATATGAGGAAATACAAATCCACGCGGAATCCGCCCAATTCCACACGGCTTGAGGATACATTTGATGCGTTCTTTGTAAAACTAAAAATACTTAAATTAAATTTGCCTTCCCTGACTATTTCTAATTTGTTTAATTCCTTTTGTTATTTCCCTTCCCGTAAGTTTACTGACCTTAACGTAAAACTTGCTTCAACCATACTAAAGATTCAATCAATATATAAGTTATTTAAAAGAATGCTTAGCCAAGAACGGGGTGTCAAAACTATTGTAATTCTCATTTTCTTACTGATTCTGTAGATGACCATGGACGACCGTAGTCACTTAACACCAATGAACTGCCAGCTCACTTGCCAATTTTGTACATAAAAAAATAAAACCTTCCCAATACAGTCTTCCCTCAGGTCACAGAGTATCATTTGAGGATTTCGCCCACCGATACCAAGAAATAATAACAGATGCAGATGTCTAAAGATACTTAAAACAAGTCGACATCTTAATTTATTACTTCGATAGGAAACTATGTGATGCTGTAAAACGTTATTGCTGCTAATAAAAATCTGCACCTATAAGAAACAATAATTGATCATTATGACACTCATTACCTTGACTCCCTACACAGGTTTGTTTGCCTTAAGACACAAAACATAGACTTCTGTCACTACTACGTATTTTCGGTATGATCATACTTTTGAACAGCAAATTCGATATGGAAGTCTTTCCACAAATATATATAAACAACACAAACCAGTGAAGCACGAAGTCTGTCTTTGAGATGAGGAAGGGTATTAATATTATATAAAAAAATAAACACGAGTTATCAAATATGCAAAATCATGTAGGAATTGAAACCACTACACGCAGTGATTTGAAAAAGTTACCACTAAAACTACTAAATTACTCTTAGTGGGACTTGTTGATTTCGTAGATTGAAAAAGTTTTAAGCCAGAAATTATTACGTAGTACATTAATGTAGCTTGTACACTTTCGTTTGCAAGCGAACATTCTTGAATAAACAACGCGGGGCGTAGTAGGACGCCGAGTGCAGTGCGACCTCGCGACTCATCTGCTATGCTTAATCGGGTCGAGCGTTCAATGTCGTCCTGCTGCGCAAACCACGAGCGGCAGCGGGAGTGTGGCGCTAAATGTGAATTCGTGATTTTTGAGGATATTCTCTTGTTCAGTTCAGATAATTCAGTGTCAGGGCACTCGATTTTAATTCAACATACCTACTGGAGCAACCTTAGTTCCAAGCATTTTTTTTCATTGAAATTTTAAATGCTTATTTATCTCTCTGATTTTAAATCGCATCGTTGAAGAAAAACCTAGAGAGGATACCGTTTAAAAGAAAATATTTCGAAAATATGTGGTGGGCACCCGTAGTATACTATGCTCTAATACCCTCCGTCCAGAGTAGGCCTATGCTCTGCGGTGGGACTTGTAAAGTGTCATCAGTGTTATTTTTTATTTAAAAAAATTTATGTCTGTAATTATATAAACCGCTACATAGAATTAGTAGTTAAATATTTCTCAATAGTGTAAATATATGTGCAAATCGTAGTTATATTCATAAATATAATATAATATCAATAAATGTTTTTCATAAAAAACAAACAAAGCTTCAGTTCATATCTTGGGACGAGGGTTGTGTCAATGTTATTACCAAGCACTACAATGGGCATTAACGTCGGACAAAGATCACTTCCTGACCGATAGTAGAGGTAAAATCAAGATATTAAAGATACTGCATCATTTCCTCTTACTGATTGTGCTCTATAGTCTTAGTCAGTCGAAATATGCGCCTCGCATATGCTTGCAAGGGTCCGCCTGAGATGTCAACTCGACAGCTATTTTTGTTACTCGTGCAAGCATTGGCGATGATTAATTGGACCGCTAAATATTCAACACGCGGATTTATAATGACAGAAAAGGAATACATATGGCATCTGCCATTTTTGTGTAGCATTGAACCACTTATTCGGATAGAGTTGATAAACTTATAAGATATATCAACAAATTGACAGCAATCTAAACGAGTTCAGAGTTTAAACAAATCTCGTAAAAACATTTCTTATTCAAATTTAAAAATTAAAAAACATTTCTTGATGACTCCGTGGCGCAGTTGCCAAGGTATTGGCTTCTGCGTTTGGGGCCGTGGCTTTGATCCCCACACGGGACAAGTATTTGTGTGACCCACAAATAGTGTTTCGCATCTGGGTGTTTGTCCACGTGAAATTTATGTTTATAAAACGTCCTTATAACACAGGATAATGTTATCCTACAGTAAGGACAATGTTTAAAAGAAAAGAAAAAGAAGAGAAAGAAACTTATTATAGTAATGGTAATATAATAATGTTCCCTTTGTCTTTGTTGGCATTCTGTAGTTGCACGACGTAAAGCTTCTACGGACACTCTGTCCGGCTACAGATCACGTAGATAGTTGTAACCTTGTTCGGTATTGATAATAAAGCTCTCTACATTCTATATGCTTCTGGGCAAGGGTTAATTATGTAGAAGGGAAAGTACTCCACTCCTTTCGCCAATTGTGACGTGTGTTAATTTTAGTTAGTTAACGTTAGTCAATTTTTTCATCATTAACATAGTAAACGAATGTAGATCTTTAAATTGAAAATATTCTAATGTAGTGTCTAGTGACACGCTTCATATTTACTTGATAAGATCGACTGGTTTCATTGAAAAGTAAAGAAAGTTGCCAGTCGTTTGTTTAGGTGAGATAGGTATGCCAACTTTGCATCTCCCGCATCATTTGTAAAGTTCAAGTCACTCGTTGAGTCCTGTTTCCAGTGCCCTCTATACACTCGTGAAAAAGCGCCAATATGATTCTCAGTTTCGTGAGATGCTTTTTCACATTCCGAAAACAGAAAACCTAACCCATCCGTGTGGTACGAAAGATTTTAAAAGTCTGTAAACATACTGGAAGTTAAAATTTACATATCCTATTCGTAGTTCTGTTTTCTCAATTTTAATTTTGAACATCCAATTTACCCTTATTAAAAATTAAAAAGTAAAGTACAGGCTACATTTAAAGTGATTCCCATAGACCATGAACTATGATAATCCACATTATCCGAGGTTTCCAGTAGCGTTGTAAATTTTAAAAAGATCGGTCTAGCTTACACGGCTCACCAGATGAGTCCTCTTTAACACTTCTGAGTAAAGGCTTCTAAGCTGTGAACTTCCCCGATTCTATGGCGGGAGCTGTAGCGAAGCTTTATGAGAGTAGGTGCTGCACGACCAACGTGATATTTTTAAGTACTAAATAATATTTTATAACAATTATATTATGTAGGTATATGTCCCACGACTGGGAAAAACAATCGTGGACTGCCAAACGTCGAGGTAATAGCGATGGTATTTGGTTGTTTGACGCGTCGTACGGTGGCGAAATTCAAACATATGCAGGTGTTCCTCACGATGTTTTCTTTCGCCGCTGAGCACGTGAAAAGTCTCACATTACAGTGAACAATTTCATCAGTGCACCCGGATTTGAACTCAAGTTGCTTGAGTATATTGAATTAAAGCGAACCTTTGGATACTCAGCTACCACGTTTTTACACTTAGTATACTTTGAACGTTACTTTGAATTTGTCGTCGGAAAAATTTGTTTTAACTTATTACGAATCATTTTTTAAATATACATCAAATTAGATATTATGTAGATATAAAAATATGTATGACACTATAACCTAAAACAATTTAGGTAAGACAATGAATATCTTTGGATATAATGTGACTATGTATTTGAGTTTATATAAACGCTAAATAAAATGTAAGTTGTTGTAGAAGTTAAAGTTTAAGTACACATCTTACCCTAACCTGATAATATGATTGTTCCTTTTTATTTTCGATTGATGTACCTTATCGCCCTATCAATTTATTTACACATACAACTTTAAACATCTTGCATACATATTGCATTCGGCATGTCAACTTGGGAGCACATTACAAAATTTGTCTCCCAACCGAGGCGGCATTCCATGCATCGCTATAAATCAACGCTTCAAGACTGTATTGAGGACAAGTCCGACCTAAGAAAGGTAAATGCCTCAATGCTAGCGCCGATGTGGCGAGAGGTCGACCCGTTCTAACGCGACCCCGAAACGTATACTATTTGCCAATACGCTTCATGTCGTCCGCACGTGTGAAATTATGAACGGATAACTGCAAGCGATAGACGAACAGCCGAATAGTCGGAACAGACCGTGAACTGCTGACGGATAGCGCCAAAACTGACACCAGACAGAAACCATCACAGTCGCTGTTTTGAATAACTCCAACTGAAAAAGTATACAATGAGAGTAATAAAGTGTAGATGAATTTCATGGAATGTGGCCAGGCAGGTTTCCAGTTCTTTCTTGCTTTTTTAATGCTCACATAATACACAGGTATTCACACAATATAAGTCACACACGCTGAAGTCTGGCAAAATGGAATATATTCTATTACAAGCTCTATTATGTGGTATCGACGCGGGATCACTTGAGGTATCTAGTTCTCGGCAGTCCACGTGACCGTTCGCAATTAAAACAACAATAACTAAACGTAAATAGGCGACACCGGTTCTATGATCGCTGTAAGCAGATGCAAACTAGTTTCGCAAGCGCTTCCTCGTTTTACACAATCTTTTATCAACACTTGGACCCGCTTGAGAAGCAGCCTTAAGAGGAGCGTTACAGTGTCCAATGTATCGTAAGCCCAACGGTTTCCGTTTTTTTTTTTATAAAAAAAACATTTCTTTATGAAAAAAGCAATATAACATATGACCAATGTGATTTAACCTAATACGATTCTATATCAACGACTGCAATAAAAAAGTAACAGGCTATGTATTATGTCCCATTGTTAGGCAGAGTTAGAGGGTTTAGGGCATGGTCCACCTAACCATCCCACTGTGGAATGACAGGTTGGCGGCGTGGCGACATCACGGCTATCAAAAACCTGGGTGAAGTTTATATATAGGACAGATATGCTGTACTTGTCTATTGAGATCTACCCGGCCTAGCGGTGATGCAACAGGTAAAAACGGTTTCAAGGTTAATGATGCACCGTTGAAGGTCGCGGTCAGGGTTGCCAGGTGCTCCATACCTCGCCTATATTAACGCAAATCGCCGCTTAACAACGTACGCTCTGCGGCGCCAATAAAACGCATCGGGTTTCTCTTACCAGCAGTTCTGTCCGTGCCCTTGTTTTCGTGCGGAATCATTTTTTTCCTGCGTCTAGCAACCCTGGCGATGCGCCCGTCGCGGCGGGCGCGAGGTTCGTATATGGCAAGGTCGGCGAGATCGCACGCGACATCGGCGCAATCACTTTCACCACGCGTCTTACCAAATGCAACGCGGAGATAGACCGTCTAGAGCGGAACGGTTTTGTTCTCTCCCCGAGCAGACGCTGTGATCGCTCGGCGTTTCCACCATTAGACGGCGTCCGGGATGATACTCTAAATTTCAATGATGTGACCGTATAACTAAATTTAATATATAAATAGAATTCGGCGTCACTTTGAGGAAATTAATAGTATAATGCGTCCAGTTTATTGCGACAATATACTGGACGCATTATACGATTAAATATATGTAGACGAGTCAAATCAGGTCATCAAGGCTAATTAGTTTTTTGGTATTACAAAGTAACATTCCACACATATCCCACCGCTTGGTGCAATTTGCTCATGAGATTTGAACTTCACCTTCTGAACACTCGATAAATCAGCGCTTAAAATTGTAATTAACAATTTCATTTGCACAGGGATTAGATCTCGGGTTGGTCAAGTAAACTAAATTAAAACCGAAAGCGTGGACACTGCTCGTCTCTTACAACAGGTGTTACAGAACCCAGTTTATATTAACGTTGCATTAAATTAACTTATTCACTTTTTAATTTAAATTTTATATAATTTTTTTAGTGCTAATATCTGCATTAAAATTTGTAGAATTTTTTTCTAAAAAAAATGGGTGAAAAGATATTCGCTGCCGCGGGAATTGAACCAACGTCTTCCGTAATCGCGCCTTATAATATTCAAACCTTATATTAATTACGCTATTTTTCCCTTGCTTGTCCATGCAACAGCTTATTCTGTTGCACAAATGGGCAACATCTTCCGGGGAAGTACCACGGCCTCACATTTTGCGTTTCGGTTGGTTAACAAAGTAATCAGAGCCCATTTTTATTAAAGGTTGTAAACGCATCTGCCAACGCCCAAGTGTTGTAAACGTCCGTAGGCAGCGGTAATCAGTTAACGCCAGGTGAACCACCTGCTAGCTTGACAATTTTTCACATAAAGTAAAATACTCACCCGCGCCTCTTTTGTATTCTACTTAAGTGTTAAATTATTCACTACTCCACTGCCATATCCAGCAGCAGTACTACATCAGCAATTGCTGCACCGCTTCCTCGCGCTGAGGTAAATTCGTTTCAGTGTGAACCGTATTGTGCTCTCGTAACTTGACTAAGCTCACGTAACCTCTAGCAAAGTACAAACAACGTACACTACTCACACAATGAGATCTGAACTTAATTGCTAATTGTTCAGACTACTCTTAACAGCCACAGGGTTGTTCAAATTTTTTTCCGATTTACATTTTATACAAAACTTTAGAACTATGACAGAAAATAGAAAACGATCTCGTGAGGACGACGACGTTTGTAAATTTATGGCGCTATCGAAAAGGATAAACAATCTGCACATAAATAACAACAACAAATCCACCTGTTTCCCAATTGTCGGAACGTAATGGAATTGGACTAAGTACCGATGCATCGGTGTTGTATTAGTATATCTACTAGTTATAAAATATTTTAGGTTAGATAAATGTATATACTTTGACTTGACGTCAGGCATCAGAAAATAGTAGCATGGTTCTGAAAATAAATGATATACATGCTGTACCAACCCAATGTGCGATAAGGCTGGAGAAGGAAGATTTTAAACAAAATTAACAATTTCTATAAACACTCGATCAAGCTTTCGATATCGATTAAACTAGCTAGATTCACAAAAGTAAACATCAAATTGCGAAATAAATTGCAATAACTTTTGTCATATCATAAAGCGAAATTAACGACGTATTTTATTTGTAGATAAAAAAATAATTTTGCGTATTGAAATTATTTTACGTAAATTAAATATGATGATTGACCTTGAAACTTGCATAGGCCATTTGAAAATAATTTGATTGCTAAATTTTTTAATACGTCAATTTCAGTTTCAGTTCGACATTAAATTACAAATTTCACTCGCATACAAATAAACCTTGCGACGCGGCGGTGTGGCAACTCGTCTCGCTTATTGTGAGCGTGGAAAAATCTATGAAATGGCGTGCGCAAATAAAATTATACGATAACAATAACTCTAAGACCGACTTGTAAACTCGCCACGCGTACAATTCAAAGGCTAATAAAACGTTTAGCTGCCATGTTTGAAGTGCCAATTCAATTTTGTATGAACACTAATGGCACACAGTTTACAACCTAAATGAAGGAGGCTTTATAATAAAAGTAGAAAAGATTTATTGTTAATATGATTATGTTAATAAACACTTAATAAATGATAGTGATTACAAAAGCCTCGTTGCCTGTTACATGATCATACATACATTTTTTTTTCATAGATATGCGTTTCAAATTTTTGTGTTCTTTTTAAATATCGAACTTCATTATTTTTGTAACACAAACTCATTATTTAATTTATTTTTGTCACTTCCTTTGGTGATCTTTACTAAGTATCTAAAAGTGTATATTTTTTGCAAGTAACAGTTATTTTAGTTTCTGTTATCTCTTTTTGTTTTAAGTGCTTGCCTAATTTAAAATTGACGTAAATAATTGTTCTGTCTTTCTGCCACTAATGCGGCGCCTGAACCTGATGCATAGATTAGATATGAAATTTGTATCAAAATCAAAACATAAATTTAATTATTTGCTTTGATGTTAACCGATCAAATAATTGAATTCCTTTTTATAGACAAATATATTAGACGTATATAACTTTTTTCCCAATAAGAAAAATATATTTTTATTACATAAATAAAAACAAATTATTTTAGAATACTTCAGTATATCTTACGCTAGAATTCATGAGTTACCTAATAGCAAAAATAAAAAATAACAAAAGCAATTTCACGTCAATAAATTCAAAGCAACATTGACGACAGACACTAGGGATTGGGATCAACTCGTTTTTGGCATACGACAGCTTTGACACGTGCTCGGTGATAACATGGAAAGGCTAATTTAAATTGAAGCAGTTAAAATAATTTACGATCGCGCGTTTGATTTAGTGCTTAATGCCAGCATTCGGTGCATATGATTCGAGCCGTGTTTACATACACTCTACAACACAATCGAACTGGTCACACACACTTGCGCGTGAATGTGCGACAAGGACGCCGTTATCCACAAGATTCGCTGTGCTCATCGTTCTTGCACACATAGAATTCGCTGGGCAACACCGTTGTTAATGTCACCAATCCGTCAAAAGCCAAACAGTAAGGAAACGATCTTAGCGTTTCCGCGCTAATCCACATATAATTGGCCACCAAGAGTACCTAAACTTGAAATCTCGCGCTGACATTTCGTTAAAGATAAACGAATGCACACGATCAAATTGCTTTATAACACTCTAGTAATTCTAAATAAAGGTCACTTGATATATGAACACAAATTTATTACAAACTAAACCGACGAGAATCAAATAGCAAGATTCGTAAAATTTGTTTTCATAATCAATGCCGATAGACATCAGCTTCCTATAAGTAGACCTTACGTAATTTAAACAATTATTTTTCTTCTAGAATCTGCACAAGTGTGCGAGCCATTTGAATTGATTTGAAAATCTATTTATTTTTTAAATAGTTTTTCTATTTTTTGTATTTGAAGTTTTACTCCTTTAGAAAGTGAAATTTTACGATGCATGCTCATAGCAACCTGATAAATCAACGCCATGAAGTACATTAATAGCATGAAATATAAAACACGAAATTAGTAATGTGTTAAATATCATAATATAACTAGCTACATAATATATGTTAATTACATGTGGCCGACTAAATTTATTGTGTTAATTTCATGTTTACTTCTATTTTTTACGCCTATAACTTTACCTATAACTTATTTCGTGTTTGTACACACATTTTTGTTGTATTTGTTACTAAACGACCTCAGCTAACTTAAAGAAAAATTATGTATTATAGTGAAACATTGTGCTAATAAATAATAAATGAACATTCTACTTTGTCTTATTTATATTTAGAATAAGCATGAATAAATACATTAAATAAATCTTTTCGATTTATAAAATAATTTCATTCAGATTACATCACTTACCTAATTGAAATAGGTTTATTTATTTAATTAAAATGATATCATGGAAAACATGTATTGTTGTTGTGCAGTCGTAATGGCCGAAAGATTTTTAGGTAGCTTACGCTTGAAATGTTTGACTTTACATGTTCAACCATAAATAAAAAATATTTAATCTCTCGTCTTTAACTCTTAGTGCTCACCGTTTCCGAGATTCCGATTATATATTATATATATACAAGAATTGCTCGTTTAAGATTACTTAAGTTGTCTACTTTATCAATTGGACATTATTACTATGCATGCACTCTACAACTCATTTATAGCGCCTAAAACTGCTTTATCAACACAAACATACTATTTCAATTATGTCCAATTATCCACATTTGTTTAACATGATAATTGTTTCATGCATTCGCTTTATTTCCACCCTTTATGAAGTTTATGAACAAAAGGCTTACTTGATGGTAGGAGGTCACTGTCGACAAAGATCCCTCGCAACTCTAGAATAGTCCATTAGTTATCCAACTTCTATAATAGCTGTAGGGTGGTATCTTAGAGTCCCCTAATATGTATATCTATACACATTGGCACAATTTAATGTGACTACATGTCATCGAAAATCCAAGTACTAGCTCCAAATGTTTTATTATCTTTATTGAGTATTAAATCTATATGAAGAAACTTTGCACGAGTAATTTTGTGTTTTTACACCCCATCTCTATTTAATAGAAATAGATAATAATAGATAATATTTAATAGAATAGAAATGGCAAATCAAAGTAAATCTCGAAGATTAGTAAAGTGTGAAGCTATAAAGTGTCAACAACGCATCAATGACGACCATAGATGACGGAAGACAAAGCAAATAGTATCGTTATCCGGATACGTGCCCGCATTAATTCGTGGCCATTGTCATCGCCCGATTTTCCGAGCTGCTTTTCAATCGTTTTAGATCTTTCGCTGGATTTCTACGCAGATGCACTTATTAACATAAGTTTAACGTGAATCCAGACGAACATATTAATTTTTTCGCAGTGACGGTAAGTTCACATCGGTAGATAACTCGGTGCCGCAGTTATCGGCTTCAGCACCATGGGTCGATTCCAACATGGGACAAGTATTCGTAAGACCCAAAAATATTTTTTATGAGGCAGACGGCATATC